TATTGCCTGCGTCCGTAACGGGTCCGCGGTCAAACGACCACCCCTCATCACTGTCAAACGCTCCCTAAAACACTTTAGCGAGCAGGCCTTCCTAATTGACCTGGCCCAGGTATCCTGGATGGATATAGATCTCATTCCGTCAGTAGAGGATGCCTGGTTGTTCCTTAAAAGTAATTTCCTCTCAATCTTAAATAAACATGCCCCATTCAAAAAATACAGAACTAAGAACCGATATAGCCCCTGGTTCTCCTCAGACTTGACTGCCCTTGACCAGCACAAAAACATCCTGTGGCGTACAGCATTAGCATCAAATAGCCCCCGCGATATGCAACTTTTCAGGGAAGTTAGGAACCAATATACACAAGCAGTCAGGAAAGCAAAGGCTAACTTTTTCAAACAGAAATTTGCATCCTGTAGCACTAACTCCAAAAAGTTTTGGGACACTGTAAAGTCCATGGAGAATAAGAGCACTTCCTCCCAGCTGCCCACTGCACTGAGGCTAGGAAACACTATCACCACCGATAAATCTACAATAATCGAGAATTTCAACAAGCATTTTGCTACAGCTGGCCATGCTTTCCATCTGGCTACCACTAACCCGGCCACCAACTCTGCACCCTCTGCTGCAACTTGCCCATGCCCCCCCCGCTTCTCCTTCACACAAATTCAGACAGCTGATGTTTTGAAAGCGCTGCAAAATCTGGACCCCTACAAATCAGCTGGGCTAGACAATCTGGACCCTTTCTTTCTAAAACTAGCCGCCGAAATTGTCGCAACCCCTATTACTAGTCTGTTCAACCTCTCTTTCATAACGTCTGAGATCCCCAGAGATTGGAAAGCTGCCGCGGTCATCCCCCTCTTCAAAGGGGGTGACACTCTAGATCCAAACTGCTACAGACCTATATCCATCCTGCCCTGCCTTTCGAAAGTATTTGAAAGCCAAGTTAACAAACAGATCACCGACCATTTCGAATACCACCGTACCTTCTCCGCTATGCAATCCGGTTTCCGAGCTGGTCACGGGTGCACTTCAGCCACGCTCAAGGTCCTAAACGATATTATAACCGCGATTGATAATAGACAGTACTGTGCAGCCGTCTTCATCGACCTGGCCAAGGCATTTGACTCTGTCAACCACCGCATTCTTATTGGAAGACTAAATAGCCTTGGTTTCTCAAATGACTGCCTCGCCTGGTTCACCAACTACTTCTCAGATAGAGTTCAGTGTGTCAAATCGGAGGGCCTGTTGTCTGGACCTATGGCAGTCTCTATGGGGGTGCCACAGGGTTCAATTCTTGGGCCGACACTTTTCTCCGTGTATATCAATGATGTCGCTCTTGCTGCTGGTGACTCTCAGATCCACCTCTACGCAGACGACACCATTTTGTATACATCTGGCCCTTCATTGGACACTGTGTTAACAAACCTCCAAACGAGCTTCAATGCCATACAACAATCCTTCAGTAGCCTCCAACTGCTCTTAAACACTAGTAAAACTAAATGCATGCTTTTCAATCGAACGCTGCTGGCACCCGCCCACCCGACTAGAATCACCACTCTCGACGGGTCTGACCTAGAGTATGTGGACAACTACAAATACCTAGGTGTCTGGTTAGACTGTAAACTCAACTTCCAGACTCACATAAAGAATCTCCAATCCAAAGTTAAATCTAGAATCGGCTTCCTATTTCGCAACAAAGCCTCCTTCACTCATGCTGCCAAACATGCCCTCGTAAAACTGACTATCCTACCGATCCTTGACTTCGGCGATGTCATTTACAAAATAGCCTCCAACACTCTACTCAGCAAATTGGATGTAGTCTATCACAGTGCCATCCGTTTTGTCTCCAAAGCCCCATACACTACCCACCACTGTGACCTGTACGCTCTTGTTGGCTGGTCCTCACTACAGGTTCGTCGTCAAACCCACTGGCTCCAGGCCATCTATAAATCACTGCTAGGCAAATCCCCGCCTTATCTTAGCTCATTGGTCACCATAGCAGCACCCACCCGTAGTCTGCGCTCCAGCAGGTATATCTCACTGAGATCATTGACAAGATCCTCCTTCGTAGTTCTGGGCTGATTCCTCATCGTTCTCATGATCATTGCAACTCCACAAGGTGAGATCTTGCATGGAGCCCCAGGCCGAGATTGACAGTTCTTTTGTGTTTCTTCCATTTGCGAATAATCGCACCAAGTGTTGTCACCTTCTCACCAAGCTGCTTGGCGATGGTCTTGTAGCCCATTCCAGCCTTGTGTAGGTCTACAATCTTGTCCCTGACATCCTTGGAGAGCTCTTTGGTCTTGACCATGGTGGAGAGTTTGGAATCTGATTGATTGATTGCTTCTGTGGACAGGTGTCTTTTATACAGGTAACAAACTGAGATTAGGAGCACTCCCTTTAAGAGTGTGCTCCTAATCTCAGCTCGTTACCTGTATAAAAGACACCTGGGAGCCAGAAATCTTTCTGATTGAGAGGGGGTCAAATACTTATTTCCCTCATTAAAATGCAAATCAATTGATACAATTGTTGACATGCGTTTTTCTGGATTTTGTTGTTGTTATTCTGTCTCTCACTGTTCAAATAAACCTACCATTAAAATTATAGACTGATCATTTCTTTGTCAGTGGGCAAACGTACAAAATCAGCAGGGCATCAAATACTTTTTTCCCTCACTGTAGTTACTCCACAATACTAACCTAATTGACAGAGTGAAAAGAAGGAAGCCTGTACAGAATACAAATATTCCAAAACTTGCATCCTGTTTGCAACAAGGCACTAAGGTAATACTGCAAAAAATGTGTCATAGCAATTCACTTTTTGTCCTGAATACAAAGCGTTATATTTGGGGCAAATCTAATAAACCACATTACTGAGTATCACTCTCCATATTTCCATGCATAGTGGTGGCTGCATCATGTTATAGGTATGCTTGTAATTGTTAAGAACTTGGGAGTTTTTCAGGATAAAAAAGAAACGGAATGGAGCTAAGCACAGGCAAAATCCTAGATGAAAACCTGGTTCACGCAGCGGTTTAAGGCACTGCATCGTAGTGCTTGAGGCGTCACTACAGACCCGGGCTGTATCGCAGCAGGCCGTGACCGGGAGACCCATGAGGCGGTGAACAATTGGCCCAGCGTCGTCCGAGTTAGGGGAGGGTTTGGCAGGCCGGGATGTCCTTGTCCCATCACGCTCTAGCGACTCCTTGTGGCTAGAGCGTGTCGCCAGTTGTATGGTGTTCGGTCGCCAGTTGTATGGTGTTTCCTCCGACACATTAGTGCGGCTGACTTCCGGGTTAAGAGAGCAGTGTGTCAAGAAGCAGTGCGGCTTGGCAGGGTCGTGTTTCGGAGGACACACATGGCTCTCGACCTTTGCCCCTCCCGAGTCCGTACGGGAGTTGCAGCGATGGGAGAGGACTGTAACTACCAATTGGATATCACAAAATAAAGAACGTGTTCAGTCTGCATTCCAGCAGACACTGGGAGATGAATACATCGTGGGCTCTGCCGCCTCAGCCATACTGTCAATCTATCATCAATGTGTCCACTCCTATTTATAGAGTTTATCTTGTGATCTCGACAAAACAACTTTTGTTATGTCGTGATCATGAGATAAATAAGTTGTGATCTCGACATAACCAGGGATAATGTTTTTATACATATGTCCTCTCTGGACTTCCGTACCCATGAGCATGCTAAATGCTTCCCTTTTTCCCATCAGCCAGATTGGCCACATTTTACATCACATAGTAAAACCAAAGAGAGTACAGTATGAAGATAGGCTAAAACTGCTTCTCCAATAGATATCCCCTATCACACTTGTAGGCGATGTCATGGCGATGTTGGCTAGCTATGCTCATGCGCAGAAACACATCATCGGGTCTAATGGTCGTCTCGCGTCAAACTACGCAGGTGCAGGCAATCAAATCAAAGGCACTCCTTCGATATAAAGTCGTTTTTGACTTTTAAAAAACGTGTTAGTTTGTCACTTTCAAGAAAGTTGGAGTAGTAACATGTTCAATGTTCGCAATGTTGCTTCTCTGGGTTTAGAAACTCTGTGGCTTATTTGATCGAATAGAAGTTTCATAATGCTTAGGTTGTTACAAGTGTACTGATATAATAGCACACATGACATCCATGCAACTTTGAGAAAAAACACTTTATATCGGAGTTTTGCCTAACGTTAGGTTAGAGTAAGTAAAACTCCTATGAGCTTTTATGTCATATAATTGTGCCATACAAAATTACATACTACTTCATGTGATAAAAGTTAATTTTACTGCACAAAAGAAGATGGGGGACTGTGAAGACGCCCTGATGTAGTGATCTTTCACTTGAAACACATCTCTCTCTGTGACAATAAAGAAATGGGTCAGTCCCAGAAACTTGTCAAGGTGACAAATAGGGACCTGCATAAATACCTCCTAAACAAATCCAGTGAATTCATAGGCTGCAGACAAGATTCCAGTCTGTGATTTTTGGCCTAGGCCTTGTGACTTTTACTGGGTATAGCTGCTGAACGGAGGGCTTTTTCCAGAAACTGTGATGGGTTTAAAAAGCAGCTTCACAATGGCAGCTTTGTGTTGGGTTTAGCTTCTCAGAAAAAGGCTGTGACTCTGTGACGGCTAAAAGGTTGGCTAGTCCTAGAAAACAGCTCCTGTTGCTCAAGCCATCACTGCCATCTACAGATGAACAGTGAAAGTTCAGATACCAGTGTCCTCTGTGAAAAATAACATTTAAAATGAATGAATTACTATTCTGTGTTTATAAAACTAAGATACTGTATATTCATAAAAATAGCTAACTGTGAAATATGTGTTAAATGTATCTAATTGCTTGAGTCCATAAAATTCATAGAATAAAATAATGAATGTCCCTTTGTTACTGGCACTGAAAGTCATTTAGATAGAACAAGGTCAGAGCAGGGTGTACACAACGATGTAGGAGGGGCAAAGAAAACCCAAGCAGCTGGATAAAACATTCATACCTAATGACTAAGCTATTTCTACTGTAGCCTACCTGGGATCACACTAGAAGCACCATGGACATCAACACTGCATTTTTAATAATTGGCTTTGCTGCCTTGATTGCAGCCTTCCTCCTTCTGGTAATTGGTCTACTGTATTCTGAGCTGATGAATTCAGACATTCCTCAAGGGGTTGCAAATCGAGGGAAACTGCATGTAGTTCATGGCTTGTTTGTTGGCATAGCAATTGTGGTGAGTATCTATCTATGGAATTGTTAGTGGTTATTATTTGATGTTTTCTGCTGTCAAATCACGTTCAAGTCTCTGAAGAAATAATTTATTTAACGTATTCCTTGGTGAAAAGAGAAACATGCTCGTACTTGAATACTATTAAAAAGAGAACTCAGCTCTTTTAAAATATGCTTGTCCTTTCTATGTACTCTAACACTGATAAAACTTCAATGGTGTAGATAAGAGAACAGGTCTGAATAAATGACAAAAAGTCAAAGTCATTCAGGGGTTTCATTGTTTGGGTAAGGACACTCAAGCAGAGTTTTCACAGTCCTGTCCTGTCAGGGCCGTATCCTGGATCGGCTGGGTCTATGTCATCAGGTGGTTCAGAAGACGGTTCCTGGTCATTCTATGACCAGTTCCCCCTGGACTACGTGTGACGGACCTCACCTTCTCTGAGGTGCCAGTCAGAGTGTATGAGCCCACAGCTGTCTCACTGGGCCTGAGGAGGGGCCTGGTATACTTCCATGGAGGAGGATGGGTGTTGGGCAATTTGGGTAATAAGATAAGACAAACATAATGTCTATCTTACAATAGCGGCCTGCTCATATAAAAAAAGAAACGTTTCATTCTCTGTTTACTCTAGTCTAACACTAATGTTCTGTTTCTTGTGATCAGATACTGCAGATGAGGTCTGCAGGCACATTGCCAAGGAGTCTGAAACCACGGTGGTTTCTGTTGGGTAACTTTTATTTTATGACTCACTGACTCAAAATGTGCTTCCAAAGCAGATCAATACAGTGAAAAGGGCTGTAAAGTTGTCAAATCCTTGACATGTTTCTTCTTTCTCTACCCTCTTTAGATACCGGCTTGCCGCTGAATATCGGTACCCCACTCAGCTGGATGACTGTGAGGCTACAACGTGTCACTTCCTGTCTGTGGCAGAGGCAGAGTTCGGGGTGGACCCAGGCAGAGGGGTGATAGTGCTGGGGCAAACCTGGCAGCCGCACTGTGCCAAAGTCTGGCCAATAGAAAGGATGGACATCTGCTGTCTCCCTGTGCCCAGGTCCTCATCTATCCAGCTTTGCAGATGGCAGATTTCAACCTGCCTTCATACCAGTAGAATCATGCTGTGCCCATATTGTTCCGTGGCCGGATGGCGTTCTACTTCCTGCAGTATCTCAACGGGGACACGTCAGTGTGCCAGGATGTGCTGGAGGGGAACCACATCCCTGCTGAGATGAGGCTGGCCTTCAAGGAGAGGCTCTCCCAGAACACCTCCCTCCTGAGTGCAGGGTGCGGGGCCACTGCCAGCATGTACACTCAGACTTAGACTACAACGGAGAGGTGTACCACATAATCAAAGACTGTCTGGATCCGGAGGTGTCCCCGCTCCTGGAAGATGACGCTGTTATCCGTCTGACCCCACCGGCCTTTATCCTGACCTGTGAGTACGACGTGCTGAGGGATGATGGAATCCTGGACCTGGGACTGGAGGTCACCTGGCATCACGTTCCAGACGGCTTCCATAGACTCATGGAATTTTTCAAAGAAGGCTGGCTAACCTTCCTATCTGCAACACAGGCTGTAGATAGTATTGTAAGCTATGTAAAAACACTTTGAGAAACACTAAACTGATCAAATGGATGTTAATGTTTGATGTGCATCTGTTTGGATTGAAATTATATAGGGAATATTTCGAGATTAGATTTTTCATGTTCCTGGCCAGTGACTTTGTTCTGTTTACAGGCAAAGCTAATAAACACAGCTTAGTACATGTTTTACTCTTCTTTAAATCAATTAAGGCATTCATTTTCATTTCTACAGAAAGATGCAATCCAATGATATTCATTATGATTTAAATGAAGACGTGTATAGCATGTATGAGCTATAGGCTAACTGCTGCAGAATTCTCTGACATTCAGAAATACAGCACCATTCTAAAGTATTGCATGCAAGTGTTATTATAATGCAGGTCCTTTGCCTCCCATTTCCCTCCACTACTGCTCCACTATTCTGTCTGTCAGTCACAGAATGTTTGCTGTATCCATAGCAACCGAGCTTCCTCTTACTATGTCACAATGAGAGCAGGTGGAATGCACCATCATCTGTTCTGTTTGATCTAACTATGCTCTGATATTAGGACCAAACCATCTCTTAATCAGCTGTATGTGACACCATGTACAGTACCACCTACAGTATGAGCAATCAGGAAAAGAGTTATGATAAATGGACCCAACCTGGCTGGAGAATAGAGCAGAAGTATGCAAACAAAGTTCTAATTGGCAACTGGGTGGAAGAGAAGCTTCAGGTAGGGTTTTTAATAAAAGTTTATTCTGGGATTTTCATGTAATTTCAATTAATTGCCATTGCTATTATGCATTGCCTGTGATGAATGTTGCTAATTCATCAAATAATGCAACATTTGGCAAGAGTCATCAAGAGTCATTATCAAGAGTTTTAATTACAGCAAAGCGTGGGTACAGCAGTCTTTCCTTTCGATTCAAATGAGATTCTCACAAGAAAAACCTGCACTGAGTGTGAGAATGTGCTATACCTCCTGCTTTCTGTAGCCAAAGATCTTCAACAAACTAGTTCAATGGCTGGTTTCCAATGGTTCTGCTGCTTCTCAGTCGGTTTGCAAATCTATACAAAAATAATTAGAGGGCTTCAGTTAAGCTACATCAGCACAGACTCCCAGTGTGAGAGACTCAAGAGGCAGTCTAATTGCATTGACGCCAGGCAGGGCCGCAGGCTGCTGCTTCAGGATCTGACTAGAGGGATGTCTTTAGAAATACTATACAACAGCATGGATCGATGGTGAAGTGTGAGCTTTGCTGAGCTCATGCTTAAGTGGCTGAGCAATCCCTCCTCTCCTCCTCTTTCCCCCTCCTCCTCCTCCTCCTCTTCCTGTCTATTTACCCTCTCTGTCGAGACAGTTCACTCGAGAGTGTAAGACAGCCAACAGCACCAACCGTGCAGACTACCAGACACAGAGGGACCACCGGCCAGACGTCATCCTCAGACGACAGGCGCTGCGGAAAGCTGAGGTCAGTCTTACACAGCAGGATCATGATATCATTAGCATTAGCGAAATGCTAGTCAAGTTAGGCCTAAAAGTCTGTTAGAACAAAATCCAAACAAAGATTATCCGTATACGCAGAGGTAATGAGCTAATCAATCAAAGAAGCAGTGTGCCCTCTGCCATTGTTTTTTAAAGCAATGGATGGCCAGTAGAATAGTGGGTTGTGGTGTGTTCCAGGGCCTTCCCGCCAAGCTGCTTCTCTCCCACCACGGCACGCTGCCCTCCCATTACCTGGTCACCCTCTATGATGAGATGTATGGGCGCCAGGGCACCTCCACCCTGCCTGCCTTGCGCTCCTGGCATCCAGACAGGCTGGCGTGGACACCAGAGAAGTCTGACCACCCAAGCTTGGGTAAGAGAGGAAGTCAACATTAGAATAAACCTTTTCTAAAGCATTGGTTCCACCAAGAGTTTTGAGTGCAAAACCAATATGGAACACAGCACCTTGGTTTGACAAAACCACTTTTATATGGGTACAAAATCATCACACAGTATGTTTGAATTATGAAAAGCTTGTATTTACTTGACTGTGGCACAGAAAAATGTTAGCTGTAATTACAAACTAGTCTCAAGTAAAGAAAAACCGGGAAGAACAAAGATGCAGTGTTCCACAACTAAAGTTCAGGCAGAATAAATGGCCTTTGATTGTTCCAAATCTGTCACAGATATAATTAATGACTGCAGCACTGTAACAGCTGAGCCCTCTCTCTCTCGCTCTCTCCCTCCCTTCCTTCTCCCTTCCAGCACCTCCAACTAACTTTGGCCTGGTGGAGTCTAGACAGGTCCGTCTGGACCAGCAGCAGTCCCCCCTCCCTGCGCTGAGTGTGTACAGGTCAGCGTACCAGAGGTACCCACCCAGTGCTTTCCGCCAGCCCTGCTTCGCCAGTGTGCCACGAGGCCTCTCCAGCAAGCTCCATCCTGCCAATCAGATCAACAAGGACATGGATCTGAAACAACGGCCCTGCAGACAGGTCCCAGACAACTCAGTCTCCGCCAGCCTCCTCCCTCCCCTGTCTGTTGTGTAGACAGAGCACGGCCCTGAGCTGGCGTGCCTCACACGCTGTTTCGATACTCAGGGGCCGTGCTCAAGTGGTGCTGTTTGAGGATTGTATTTTGTATTAGTCTAATGCATGAAAAATGAAATGGAGCAGAACATATGGGATATCAAAAGATGTAGAAAATTAAACAGTAGTCTCATTATAATCTCTTGAATCTAGGCTCTGTGTGTGTATGTGTGTGTGTGTGTGTGTGTGTGTGTGTGTGTGTGTGTGTGTGTGTGTGTGTGTGTGTGTGTGTGTGTGTGTGTGTGTGTGTGTGTGTGTGTGTGTGTGTGTGTGTGTGTGTGTGTGTGTGTGTGTGTGTGTGTGTGTGTGTGTGTGTGTGTGTGCGCGGAGGAGAGGGAGGGGGTGTCCGCAAAAGACATCTGAACATTTAGGATAATCACATGCTAATTATTTTCCTTGCACTTAATATTTGCCACTCAAAATTGGCTTTTGTAGTTGATGTAGTTCTGTCCTTGAGCTGTTCTTGTCTATTAATGTTCTGTATTATGTCATGTTTCATGTTCTGTGTAGACCCCAGGAAGAGTAGCTGCTGCTTTCGCAACAGCTAATGGGGATCCTAATAAAATACCAAAATACCAAATACCCTAGACTAGATGCTTTGGAAATCTAAAAGAGTGTTGATGTCAGAGCTGACCTGGGTATTCATCCATAGCAGGAGCTATGAGTAATGTAAGGCAAACTCTGAGGGGACTTGTCTTACTCCCATTCCATTGGGTTGTTTAATTACAGGGAATCAAAGTGTTTAATTAGGAGGAATCAAATATGCTTATATGTTGATGGTCAACCATCTCTCTTCTCCTGCTGCCCCAGCTAGTGCAGCCCTCTGTCCGCCTCTCCGTTATTCATTTCAATACTCAAGCTGATTTTTGTGCGAGTCAGAAAACGTGGGTAGATTATGTGTTATCAATTACACACAGTGCAAATTACTCCTTTCTATGTTTGGTTAGTCAGACCACATGATGGCGCTACAGCGACATGTCACACAATGGAATCCCAGACAAGGGTGCTGTGTCACTCACTGTTGTTCTTAGTCTATGATTGCTCTTTGTGAGAACAACCGACAGCTTGATTTGAATGAAAAAACAATTATACGTTTAAACATTCATTCAAACATGTATATTGTTGATGTAATTACGCAACACATCAATTAACCACCACATCCATCATCCTACAAATTCATTGATTTACTCTGCAGTCAGACACGACACATCACACAGCAGAGCTCTTGTTTGTTAAATTGTTGATGACTTATCATTGAAAATCAGTCACTGTCTGGAAGGAAAATGTATTTAATTTAAATCATGATTCAACCACATTACTTAATAGCCAACACAATGCTGAACAAAATGCTTTGTCTTTAATAATTTTAGCATATTTCTTTCTTCTGCTGATTAATATTGCACAAATGTAACGATAAATATTTGTTTACAAAATCAAGAGTACTTTCATCACAGTCATTAGTTATGTTGGTGCATTAATAACTTCTGATATCAACAATGTTGAAAACCACAGCAGAAGAAAACAGGCGTATACTATGTTCCAATCTTAGAAGAGATTAAAAAGTAGCAGTGACTTTTGTTTATTGAAGCTCACATACAGTACATCATGCTGTGTCACAACCATTTACATCATGTCATATTTATAGACCAAATGTGGATAATTGTATTGAGTCCAGTCCTGTGTGAGTAATGTTTGTACCCTACAAAGCTACCCACTGTGATGGATTATTACTATATCAACCCAGTACTCCAAAGCATTATGGTTGAGTGAATTAACTTAAGACTTGTTTATGAATTATTTTTACAGGAGAGAAAGTGCATGATTTAGGAGTAGCTCGGTAGTGCAAGGGAGGAGGGAAATGAAAAGAACAAGCAGCTTTCACAAATACATGGAGTTTATATGGCAGTACACCCTGAATAAATCTAAACAAGCAGTAGTCTAATTACCATTAATGGCATTCATATTTTACTTTCATTGCCTCTGATTAAGACAGCTGTGCTTCCCAGTAGGATACTCTCATCTATGAAAATGGCCTTGGTGCATAAATACATGAGATACTCCCTCACTGCTCTGTCCTTGTCTGTGCTGAGGAGAATCATTCCTGGTCACACGCTGGTCTGGAGAGCTTTCTTATCAGGAAGGGAGAGTACGAAGGGGAAAAGGATGCCCTTAGCTGCAGAGAGGACACTCAAATCGTCCGCTACGAAGCTCGGAGAGATCTCATCAGCCAGGAACCTCATGGTGAACTGGCGGCTTATGCAGTAGATGGTGTCGTCCACAACAACACACTGGAAGGCAGGGCAGTGGGCGAGGCGTTTGGTGCAGCACTCATACCATAGTCGTGCCACAGTGTGGTAGCGATACACACTGATGCCTAGCTGTGGGTTGACATCGAAGCGATACAGAAAGTTTCTTACGCCCACTATCTCGGTGGTCCTCACTTTGCTTCCCGTTATTGCGCTCTTCCTCCACACATTGTTTTTTGGGTTGTAGCTCAACAGTGTGTATCTCAGTGTTCCCCCTAGAACAAAGAGTTCCCCATTGCACACCGTGACATGATGGGCCACAGCAAATGTATCGTTGGGCAGTGGGGCCACAAAAGTCCATCTGTCGGAGCGGGGGTCATAGCGCTCTACGGTAGACAGACACTCCCCTCCGATGGCATAGATGCAGCCCTGAAGGCCTGCCAGTTTGCAGTGGGGCCTGGACTCATTCATAGGACTGATCTCTTTCCAAATGGACGTTATAGGGTTGTAGCAGAACACTCTCTTGGAAGGTTTCATCTCTCTGTCTGCGCCCTGCTGGCAGCCCCCCACTGCTACAAATAAGTAGTTGTCCATAGTGCACACGGCACAGCCTTTGGAGATGACTTCCTGTGGGATGGGACACAGTGGGTGCCAGCTGTCTATATAATCATCATAATAGTAGAGACCACTGGATGGCTTGTTGGTGGCTCGCTGCTCTGTTTTTGTCCCTTGAGGACTACTCCCCACCCAGTCCTGAGGGTCCATGTTGGCTGCCACTAAGAACTGCCTTCCTCTCATACGCTGTTTCTGGATCTCATCCCGCTCGCCTGCTCTCAGCATCCCATACAGGCCTGGGTCCCTGAGGACCTGGAGGTAGTTGTCAGACATCACTCTGAGGGCTGCCTGCTGCAGTGGGGCCTGCCCATTCTTCTTAGACAGCTCCAGCACCTCCATGCAGTTACCCAAATCAAGCTTGGCCTTTAAGCTCTGTAACTCTGAGCTCTGAGCTATGTTTTCTGGAAGCAGATTTACAAATCTGGCCCCAGCTATGGTTTCTAGGCTGGGCTCCTCCCATGCACTGGGGCCCCTGGTGTCTGTGCAGGGACTAAGGGGACTGACAGGGCTGGGATCCCCTGATGAATAGGCCTGAGAGTGGGGCCTCAATGGGGTCGAGGCTCTGGGTATCAGAGAGGGGATCAGGAGCTCTGAATGTTCAGCCGCTGTGAGGTAGCTCTCCTTGCGTATGAGACCCGGCTTGATGGGAGGTGTGGGCGCCGGACTAATTGGGGAGAATGGCCTCTCAACAGGACTCTGTGGTAAAACCAAATCACGCATGATGATGGGGCTTAAGGACGAGGGAGACTCAGTGAGGCTGCTGCCACGGCTTCCAAACTTCACTGACTGTGAGTCCAGTGAATTCCCCTCAAACTGAGCCAATATGGAGTCTGTGATGGAGTGCGAGGAAGATTCCACATAGTATTCATAGATCTTTCCCCGCACAACGCTCTGGTCCCCAGGTCCTTCCATCACAAGGTTGGCATCCTCCACTGTGATCTCTGCCTTGGAGAGGAAGCTGGAGTAGGCCCCCTGGAGCCCCAGGTCCTGCCTCAGCTCTCTGCTGACCCCCAGCCCCACACTGCCCTCAAGCCTCTGCAGAAAGCAAGGGGATCGACGGCCTGATGGGCTGGCCAGACCACTGTCATTAGGATCAGGGAGTTTCAAGATGGATCCAAACATACAATTACTGGTCTTAATCTCAGCCTCCTCAACAAACACGGGGATATCTGTCTCCAACTCCAAGCTGTTGTCTTCCTCTACATTTGATTCCTCCTGCAATGCAGCCATTTCCTTAATGTTTGTGAACTTGCCGGCTTCTTCAATCTGGGTCACTTCTCCTTCCCCTGTCCCTGTATTGGTGTTGTCAGGTGTCAGGTCATCACTCACAGGGCTAATCTGTGAGTGGCCAGGCTGTTTGTCCCCATCACTGCTGGTGTCATGTTTGGCTATGCTTTGAGGTCGCAGTTCCATCTTGCAGTTCAGACAGGTTCCAATGGGTGCTTCAGTGGGCCTGTCTGGAGGAAGCCTCACATAGAGCTGGGGTTTAGCTGCTTTACCTCTGGAGCTGTAGAACCTGTAAACCCAAGAGATGAGCAGCACAGCGGCCACGGAACACGTCAGCTTCCCCAGCAGTTGCATGTCGAACTGGACACCCAGCAGATCTGCTATGGGCATGACTAAACAGAGGAGTTGCCAAGGTGAAAAACCTTTTTGTCTGGGTATTTATTTTCAGTGCATCTTAGCCAATGGTAGCTGGTAGCCTGCGGGCTGCAGAGATCTGATGACTGTCTGTTCTCTCTCCTCTCTCTGGACAACTTGTAAACTGATACCAACACTATTTGCATCCCTCACGGCTGGGGCGGGGCAGCGGTCACATTCCACCTGCAACAGGTGATCATGTTTGCTCTGGCCTTCACCATGTCGTAGACAAACGCCATACCTGGATAGTTCCAGTGTACATATTGACATTTGTTGACTCATCATAAGATGGGTTTATCATGTTGTTTACTGAGTGATTTAATTAAGTGTTTTAACAATTTGGAAACTATATCACCACAAGGTTAAACACAGATTCAGACTATTGTGCTGTTGAGCCTAATGTTTACATGACTGTATTTGTAGGAGTGGCCTAGATCATATGACTCTATTTCAGACCTA